GTTGCGGCGTGCAACCCGCTCCTCCAATATTTTCATTTACCAATCAATTCCTATAAAGCATTTCTCCAATAAACGCAACAATTAATGTAAAATCGTAAGACAACAAGCACACAACAATTATAATTTAATTATGAAACAAACAATGACAATTAGAAATTTATTATAGAAATCAGGGAGAAAATAGTCAGTTTAATATTTAATATGCTAAATATCAAATAACAATTAAAACACATACTTCAAATAGCATGTAACAATTAATGCAGGAATTCAAAAATTAATATTTTGACTAAGAATAAGAGAGAAAAAATCATTCTAATAATTAATTCATGATTTAAAATAATTTATGATTTTTCAAGTAAATACGCAAACAAATAATTTGACGACGCATAGACACTCGTCACCTCACCTATACGTCATTCACATGCATTTCACATAACAAATAATTAAAGGTTCTATTCCCTCAAATCAAGGTTAACCACGACACTTACCTCGCTTTGCAAATTCCAATCAATTATTCAACCACAGCTTTTCCTTTTAAATTTGTCTTCGAAAGCTTCAAATCTATTCACAAATAATTTAATATACTCAATACGAATCATATGAATTAATTCCATATGAATTTATAAATTTTTCGGATAAAAATTCAAAATTCATTAAAATATTCGGCAGTGGGACCCACATCTCAAATCTCGGAAAAACTTATGAAATTCGAACACGCATTCCGAGACGAGTCCAACCATACAGAAATTACCCAATTCCGATGTCAAATGGACCTTCAAATCTTAAATTTTCGTTTTTGGAAGATTTTAGAAAAATCTGATTTTTCTTTTATAAATTCACGGATTCATGATATAAACGCGTATGGAATCATGAAATGTAAGCAATATAGGATAAGGAACACTTATCCCAATATTTTTTCGTGAAAATCGCCCAAAAATTATCTTACCCGAGCTCAAAAATGGGAAGGAGTTGAAAATGGGTCGAAACCCCATTTCCAGAACTTAAGTTCTGTTTTTGGGATTTTTACCCTTCGCGAACGCGGTCAGTGCCTCGCGTTCGCGAAGCACAATTATGTGCTGCCAAATTTTACTCTTCGCGAACGCGATGCATGCCTGGCTTGGCCTTCGCGAACGCGAGATGCCCTTCGCGAGCGCGAAGGCTAATTTTCCTGGCCAGTCTCTTTCCCTTCGCGAACGCGAGGCTTCTATCGCGAAGGCGAAGCTTTGAACCTCAAGCCTTCGTGAACGCGAAGCAAAAAACGTGCCAGCCTAATTTTCTCTTCGCGAAGGCGAAGAAGAACACACCAGAAGCCTAAAGTCTGCAGAAAACCAGATTTCCTAAGTCCGAAATCATCCTGTAGCCTATCCGAAACTCGCCCGAGCCCCCGGGGCTCCAAACCAAACATGCACACAAGTTCTAAAATATCATACGAATTTGCTCGCGTGATCGAATCGCCAAAATAACACCTAGAACTATGAATCGAACACCAAATCAAAGGAAGTTTTCAAGAAAACTTTTAAACTTATATTTTTACAACTGGACGTCCGAATCACGTCAAATCAACTCCGATTCTTACCAAATTCGGCAGACAAGTCATAAATATTATAGTGGACCTATACGGGCTCCGGAACCAAAATACGGACCCGAGGTCAATAAATCCAACATCAGTAATTTCTTAGAAACCATTAAGCTTTCAAGCTTTTAATTTTTCATCAAAATTCCATATCTTAGGCTAGGGACCTCAGAATTTGATTCTGGGAATACGCCCAAGTCCCAAATCACGATACGGAGCTATCGGAACTGTCAAAATACGGATCCGGGTCCGTTTGCTAAAAATATTGACCAAAGTCAACTCAGTTGAGTTTTAAAGCTCTATTTCCTATTTTAATCCATTTTTCATATTAAAACTTTCCGGACAATTGTACAGACTGCGCACATAAGTCGAGAAATAATAAATGGTGCTTTTTGAGGTCTTAGAACACAGAATTACTTATTAAATTTAAAGATGACATTTTGGGTTATCACATTACATGACTAAACATATTTACTTGTTTAATTTTATATGAATTAGATAACCCGAAATTAATTATACTAATAGGATTACTAAAGGTAATCAAGGTTATTTTGGTAAACCGACGTTGTATTCATGTTTTTATAATAATATAGATATTTACCCTATTTCCTTTCAAGTTAGCAGTATTAATTGAAATGTTCGGAAATCTTTAGTGGTACACAACTTTATGTTTCTTCTTCCACATAAAAGGGGAAAATATTATGCTAGTGTGTGGCAAATTCTGATGTCCACATCACACTGTAATTAGATTGCTGCGAATTTGTCTGGTCTTCCTGCATGAGAACGATTTACTACTTTGCTTTGGTTGGGTTCTCTTGGCTGAACTCGATGTGCCATCTAGCATAAGCTAATCTTTCTTCTTTGATACATCATTTGGAAAAGTGTTATACCCTTTTTGTCAACTTTGGTACTAGTATTGTTTGTAATCAAGAAAATAGCTCGAATTTGTAATTCAAGGTGGTTAAAGATTTAAAATTTTAATCAACGGTTAAAGGTGCAAAGTTTAATATGTGGGAGGTTTGTCTCACAGCCAGTAGTAAAAAACAATCGTTGTTTTATACTGGTTTAAGATCTTGGAAAAGTAGGCATGATTATTCATGGTAATTAAATATTCTGAGTATTCATGGCAGTTAATATTCTTGGCATGAATAAAAAGAAAAAGTACGTAAAATAGATTGGCAGAAAGTATGATCTAGCTATTCTTAAAATATTTGATTAATAAACCTATTCTTGATAGGAAAAATGATGGTAAATTTTAGTATATAGGAAGAATAGTTGCAGCTGTGTAGTGTTGATATTCCGCTCCATTTTGTTTGTGTTTGCCAATAACTTGTTAGAGGAAAAACCTGGTAGTCAAGGTTGATTGATTAATTATTTCAAAGTATCTTGCAATTAAGTCTGTGTGATTTTTGCACTTTAAAAAAAGAGGGCTGAGTGGTGTTTGTCTAAGTACTACTACTTGTTAAAAAATCATTAGTATTTTAACTTGAACAAGATGCAGTAATTTGTTTGACCTCTGGAGAAAGAGAACTATAGATGTTTAACAAACACCCTTAGCTTTGAAGAGTCGGATCCAAATGTTAAACAAACACCCTTAGCTTTGAAGAGTCGGATCTAAATGTTGGTGACTACTATGGTCGGATACAAGAGATTATACAAGTAGAATACCGTGAAGAACCTTTAAAGAAAACTGTATTATTCAATTGTGAATGGTTTGACCCAACGATGAATGTTGGTGTTAACTTCTCATCGTATAATGAATTTAGAAAGTGTATTAACTGTTATAAATAAGATATTAATGTTATTACTTTATGAATTATTTCAGAAGAAATTCTATTGGGACTCTTCCATTGATAGTGCAGTGAGGAGCCAATGGGAGAGTAAGGCATCAATAAGGTACAAAGTTTCATTAGCAAAATGAAAACTAAAAAAGTTAGGCCAAGAGTTGTTCCAGAAGAAGTGTGGGAAAGTTGGGATCAACTTTGAAAAGATCCCAAGTGTGTTGAAAAGTCAAAAATAAATGCAAAAAATCGTTATGGCGGTAGGAGTGGAGTCTCCACTGGGGCTCACACAGGCGGCTCTATCTCCATTGGGGAGCATCGCAAGAGACTTGTAAGTATATCATTTATGTTCTATCTAATAATTGATAGTATGCAAGTACAACTAATCACTAGTATGTGGTACATTACATGGTTGCATCTTACAAGTACATTTTGACTTGGATTAACGAAGTTAAAGACGGTATTCCTTATTGGATACCAGAGAATATAGGAGCTTTCACTTGTAAATATGTATGGAATAACTAGGAAGAAGTTGTAGATCTATCACTCTGCGCATACTACCTTATCACTAGTTATCTTTCTGCTTATTCTAATAACTGATTGCTATTATATATTCTGTATTACTACTACTGTTAATATATTCTTGAATAAACTGCTTTAGAGTACCAACTTAATAATAACCTGAGTTTATTTACTGTTATGCTTCTTTCTCATGTTCCTTAGGTAGAATTTTATTAAACTTCATTCTGTTATTGCTAATACAATAGTCATCCCCATGTTCCAAAAATCTTCAATGTCGTTTCCAAAGAAAATCTCTCTTTGAAGGGGAAGAATGAATTGTTAATCTAACTTGACTGTTATTTTAGAGTATAGACTATAATTGTTGCCAATGTTATTTAGATGCAAAGGAAGAAAACTAATTACTACTACTGCTGACTGTTGCGACTGTTACTTATTTTAGAGTTTAAATTATTGTTTCTCCATCAGTTATAAGCTATCAAAAATTTCTAACTTTTGTTACTGCATAGAAACATCTTTAATGAAGAAAAATACATTGTTTTTTGTATAGGCTGTTAAAAAGGGTCGAGGTCCAACACCAAGTGAGATACATTTGTAAGTCCATACACATGGGCATGACTTTTCTTGATGAGAAAGCTCGAATCGTGCATGTAAGTCCAATATTTTATAATCTTATTTACTACAATGTAAAAAGAGATAGTGAAGTTGCTCTCTATTAACGTGTTTGCTTTGTGGCATTTAAAATGAAAATTTCAATATTTCTTTTATCTAATCTGGTAACTACTATCCAATTTGAAATAGGACTTCTTCCTTGAGGTGGATTCCAATATTAGTGTTCTGTAAGTGGCTTTTGCATTGTTGTTGTTGGTATAACTAATGAGTTTGGTACATCCAAAACCAAATTGCATCTAATGCTGCCAACAATAATGTATTTTTGGCTATGTGAATAAACTTTAGAAAAGAGTGGTTTAGAATTCTGAGATATTTTATCTAAGAAAAACAAAGGGTGGAGCCATTAGCTCAATCTTTAGGCTCCCTCTAAATTGATTTTAACGACTTGTTTCTGATAATTATTGGAGTGACAAAAACCAAATCAAGAAAGCATTGTTTTTCTTCTTTGTTATGCAATGGCAGAAGAAGATATATATACCAAGGATGGGACTGTGGATAATCGGAATAAGCCTGCAAATAGGAAGAAAACAGGAACTTGGAAGGTTCTAGCCTAATTTTCCATTATTAGGATGTTGTAGATAAAGATTAGATTATAATTATAGTATCATATAATATTTTGTTGGGAATTTTGTCCTCCCATAATTTTGTCCTTGCATATAGCAGCAAATATGAAAAGTTGCATCCTCTCCGTTGGTTAATTAAATACTCAACATTCTTGACTGTTTTAATTTCCTACTTATTACACTTCTTTTACAGGAAAGATATCAGGAAATATTACGGGAACAAAAACAAACTCAGTATGATATTGATCAATGTAAAGCATATTATGAAGTCGCGGGAGAAAAAAAGAATAGAAGAGTGTATGGTCTTGGATCTCAAGTAAAATGCTACTATGGGCCAAATCTTCGTGGCTCTTCTGGATCAGATACTTCATCATCAATACCACCTTCGAGTTCTCAATCAGCATCACTAGGGAATCTGGATGAGTTAGTGATGTGTTTGATTCCTGCACTAACAGAGCACATAGTTCCTGTGCTAACTGATCACATGCTTCCGGTATTGACTGAGCGAGTGCGTCAAATGATTTCTTCACCCTCGCATTAGCCTACTTCTACTGACCACCCATCAGATGTGGTACCAACAGTTCATGCTCCTACTACTGCTAATGTTAATGGGGTTCCTCCATCGGTTTTAGATGATGACCTCAACCCCTAAGCCTCGCATTTGGTAGCTTTTTTGTTTCAACTTTATTGTTGGTGTTAGGTATAATTCGAACTTATTTGTAATAGCTATATGCATTTTGATATCATTTTGGACCTTGAAGTATGTTAATTTATATGAACTTTAGCTATTATTAAGGATATCTATTAATTTATGTAACGACCTGACCGGTCATTTTGGCTTTTTAGAACCTCGTTACCCTAAATAAGACTTCCCGTACATACTTTTACTGATTTATGACTTGCGGGGATGGTTGGTTCGGGATTTGAAAGAGTTTGGGTTGAAATGGGAACACTTGGTTCCTTAAGGTTGGCTTAAAAGGCCAAGTTTGACTTTGGTCAATATTTTTAGTAAACGACCTCGGAATCAGGATTTAACGGTTCCAACAGGTTCGTATGATGATTTCGGACTTGGGCGTATGTTCGGATTAGGTTTTGGATGACCCGAAAGCGTTTTGGCGCCTAATAGTGAAAGTTGGTTCTTGAAGAACTTTGAAGTTCTTTAAATTTAGTTTAGAGTGGGTTTTGGTGATATCGAGGTCCAAACGGAATTTCGAGATCGAAAATAGTTCCGTAATGTCATTTAAGACTTGCACGCAAAATTTGGTATCATTCCAAGTAGTATAAGTACGTTTCGTCACATTTGAAGTAAATTGAAGAACTTGAAGTTCAAGGTTTGGTTCAATTTGGTTTTGGGGTATGATTCTTGGTTTCATTGTTATTTTTGCATTTCGACCTGTTAGTGCCTTTGGACGGGGTCCCGAATGGCTCGGGTGAGTTTCGGACCCCTCGGAGCAATATGCAAGAAACCAGAAATGCCGAGTTATGGTTTCCTTCTTCGCGAACGCGAAGGGACCATCGCGTTCGCGTAGAAGGAGTTAGGACTGGGGGAAAATGTGCTACGCATTCGCGATAGCTAGTCCACGTTCGCGAAGGTATGGGTCGGTGACCTTCGCGTGAGGCGCCTCGCATTCGCGTAGAGTAGCTGGGCTGGGCTGGGCTGGGGGCCGCTTTGTTCTTTGTGTTCGCGAAGCAACCCTCACATTCGCGAAGGGTAGGCCAAGCCAGCCTACGCGTTAGCGAGACCTTGGTCGCGTTCGCGATGAAGGGTCTTCAGAGGGCCTAAGTCAATTGCCTTCATGAACGCGAGGCCCCTTTCGCGTTCGCGAAGAAGGGGAGCAACTGGGCAGTGAGTTTAAAATCGAGACTTAGGCATTTTTGGGGTCATTTATTACACTCTTGGGCAATTTGGGAGCTCTTAAGGAGGGGATTTCGACCTAGCTTTGTGAGTTCTGGATTGTTCGGCACCAAATTGAGGGTTTGGGCATAAGCTTGGACCGGAAAGTAGTCCTTAAAGTGAGGTAAGTCTCTTTTCTAACCTTGTAAGAGGAAAATTTCCCCATAGGTGAACTTAATTAATATATGATTATTTGTGGTGGCTACGTACGCACGAAGTGATGAGAGTCCGCACGTAGCTACTATTCTTGTTATGTCCGGGTAGTTATAGGCTTACACCATGCTTTGTGGGTACCGTTATCTGAACATAATTGTTTATTTGCATTGAATGGAACTAAGTTGAGGATTTCAAGATTTCAAAGGGTTCAAGTAAATTAATACTTTGAAAAGAATGGAGAAAAATTACGTTATATTTATATTTAACTGTGTCGCAAGTATATTCCGCGAGTGGGGTGACTATTTTTACTACTCTCATGGGAGCGGACCGTTCGCCTCGGCAGGTTAATAGATGCATCTATGGTTCCCGCCGTTTGACCCTCGACAGTGCACAGTTTGCATTTTTATGTTGGATCGGGACGAACTTCCTCAGTGGAATTTGTGTGTGATAATAGAAGTGGGAGCCCTTTTTATAATTGGTATAAATTTACTGTTTTAGAGATCATTTGTTTAAAATGAAGGAAGTATTTTGGTTTCATAGATATGATGGAAAAACTGTACAGTTATTTCTTGTTCTGAGTTTATTGTTAGTTCTGTGTATCATGCTTATTTAGAATCACATATTATTATATTGTTGACCCTAGTGAGTGTCGAAATCGATCCCTCGTCACTACTTCTTTGAGGTTAGACTAGATACTTACTGGGTACATATTTTTATGTACTCATGCTACACTTCTGTACTTGATTGTACAGGATTTGAGGCAGGTGCATATGGCCACCAGTCCGGCTTGTAGACTGATTTTCCAGGTCGAGACTTCGTGGTGAGCTGTCCTTTTTGAGCCGTTCTGCAGTAGCTGGAGTCTATCTTATGTTCTTTTATTTTCTGTCTATTTCCTTTCAGACAGTAGGCTAGTATTGTTTTGTATATTCTACTAGATTGCCCACATACTTGTGAAACCAGGTCTTGGCACACACACTAGTAGATTTAGGGTTTGGGTTTGCTCATATGATTACGATTAGTACTAATTACATCCATTTATTTATGTTAAAATTGTAAACTCCTAAATCTTTTTATTAAATATGGAAAAAGCTATCGTTTACAAATCTATCTAAGCGGGAAATCACTAGTTGATAAGTGTTGGCTTGACTAACAATGTGGTTGGGCGCCATCACGACCTATAATGGAATTGGGTCGTGACAATTTACATTCAAAATGCATGAGCAAAGAAAATTTAAAATAATAAATAAAAAAGATCTAAAAGGGAAAAACATTACGACAGATTGCGACGAATATTTTTCGTAACATAACTAAATATATAAAATAATATAGCGACAGATTGCAACAGACGATTTTTGTTTCCAAAAGAAAAGATGAAATGACTCTAAAAATATTTGGCGACGGATTAGCGACCGACTTTCTGTCGCAAAAGTATACCAATGACGAAATGCATTATGAATTTTGCGACATAATTTGCTAATATTGTGATGACCCGAAAGGTCATCTTATGTATTAGAACCCAATTCTGCGCTTTTAAGCTTCAAACACCTCATTTTATCCTTCCTTGATTTGTGTGCGCAGTCCGGGCGTATTTTCGAAAAGCTGTTATGTTAAAAATTGAGAAAAATAAGAATTTTTGCCTAAAAATTTTATTTGAGTTGACTTCGGTCAACAGATTTAGTTAACGAGCCCGGATTAGTATTTTGGCAGTCCCGGTGGGTCCGTACAGTGATTTGGGACTCGGACGTATTCCCGAAATAGAATTCGAAAGTCCCTAGCCCGAGATATTGGACTTTGTCGAAATTTGAAAGTTAAAGGCTTAATGAATTTGAAATGTTTGACCAAAGCTTAACTTTTTGGATAACAGGTTCGTATTTTGGTTTCGGAACCCGATATAGGTCCAATACCATGTTTATGACTTGTCTGTGAAATTTGATGAAAAATGAGTTGGTTTGACGTGATTCGGACGTTCGGTTGTGAAAATAGAAGTTTCAAAATTTTTTTGAAAAATTCATTTGATTTTATGTTCAATTCGTAGTTCTAGGCGTTATTTTGGCGATTTAATCGGGCGAGCAAGTTCGTATGATATTTTTAGACTTGTGTGCATAGTTGGTTTGGAGCCCCGAGGGCTCGGGTGAGTTTCGGATAAGCTACGGAGTGAATTGAACTTAGAAAATCATAGCTGGTGCATCAGACCTGCAGATTTCGCATTTGCAAGATCTGGCTCGCAAATACGAGCCTCGCATTTGCAAAGAGACCATCACATTTGCGAGCAGTGGGATGGGGGTTTGACCTTCGCATTTGTGGAGTTTTGGTCGCATTTGCGAACACTTGTTCGCATTTGCGATGAATGCAGGCCTAGGGCATTTTTCACATTTGCGAAGAAATTGTCGCATTTGCGGGTTCGCATTTGCGAACCCAGGTCGCAAATGTGATACCTGCAGCTGAACAAAAGATGACTTAGACGGGATTTTTGATTCATTCTTCAAATTTTCAAACCTAGAAACGCAAGAGGCGACTTTCCAAAGAACTTTTCTTCCCCAAATCAATGGTAAGTGATTTTAAACTAATTTCTTTCAATCTTTCACTACTTTTCCTAAGATTTCAACCTAAAATCTAAAGTTTTCAGGGTGGAATTGGGGATTTTTGTGTAGAAATTAGGGACTTGGTAATTTGGGGATTTAGACCTCAAATTGAGGTAGGATTCCAAAACAAATCACATAACCGGGTTCGGGTGAATGGGTAATCGGGTTTTGGTCCGAATTTCGGGTTTGGACCAAGCGGGCCCGGTTGTTGACTTTTGTTGACTTTTTCAATAATGGCCTAAATTGAATTCTTTACCATCGTGGGTAGTTCTTAAGGCTTAATTTGAATTGTTTGGTTGGTAATTTGCTAGATTCTATTGGTTCGGAGGCTTGTTTGAAAGGAAAAGTCGTGGTTGAGCTTTGAGCTTGGTCGTTGGAGCGAGATAAGTGTCGTGGTTAACCTTGACTTGAGGGAATGGGGCTTGTGTGTCTATTTGCTACTTGTTTAATTGTTGGGAACAACGTATATGTGAGGTGACGAGTACTTATGCGTTATAGTCTGGTTAAAGCATGCGAGTGGGGTTTGGTTTCTTACAATTATAACTTCCTTTGCTCATGTTATCCATGTTTAGACTAGTATTGTTAAATCGATTGCTTTTATCATGATTACAAATCTTGTGATAATTGAGTATTGATTCTGAAGTTGAGGTTGACATAGTGGAACCAAATGTGGAAGTAAGGCTTGTACTTGTTATATTATTTCCCTGTTGTCATTTGTTCATTTCATTATGGTGGGAGAGTGTTAATGCACGAAGGGTGATGCCGTACCATATTGTGAGTGTAATGTACGAAGGGTTATGTCGTGCCATATTGTGAGTGTTAATGCATGAAGGGTGATGACGTGCTATGTTAAGAGAGTTAATGCACGAAGGGTGATGTCGTGCCGTTTCTATTAATTTTATGGTGAGGTTGAGAGTAAATGCACGAAGGGTGATGTCGTGCATTTCTCCTTTACTGTGTTTACTTGTCTTATTAGTTCATAGTATATTGGCTGTTCAAGTTACCATTATGTTGTAGTTCTCTATCTCGTATTCCCCTTAGCATGTTTCCCTCTCCCGATATTACCTATCTAGTTCTTCATTGATGTTATTTGTACATACTGTTAAATTGTACAGGTTTGATATGTATGTGTCTTGTCATAGCCTCGTCACTACTTCGTCGAGGTTAGGCTCGACACTTACCAGTACATGAGGTCGGTTGTACTGATACTGCACTCTGCACTTCCTGTGCAAATTTTGGTAGTGGTCCCAGCTGATTGAGAGGCATAGCAGCTCAGGCCAGTTCATCGGTGACTCAAGGTAGATCTGTCGGCGTTCGCAGACCTTGAAGTCCCCGCCTATCTTTACTGTTTTTTTTGTTGTTTCTTTCGTTCAAATATTTGTACTTCTTTCAGACTTTTACTTGTAGTAACTCCTATAAGTTCGTGAATTGTGACTCCAGATCCGGGTGGTAGTAAATGTTGAAGCTTTTATATTATTCCGCACTCGTTGTATTTCATTTTAGTTTATTTGTTGTTATTTACTGAATTGAGTAAGGTTAGGCTTAATAATTCTCTAACGTTGGCTTGCCTAGCAAGTGAAATTTAGACGCCATCACGGACCCGAGGGTAGGAATTTCGGGTCGTGACAAATATGGCGACGGAAATTATGTCGCTAAATGTAGCAACGGATAGTAATTGCCGCTAGAACGTCGCTAATTTTGCGACAGATTCCATTTTTCCGTCGCTAAGAGCTTAGCAACGAGCAAATCAACAACAAAGGGAAATCGGTCGCAATTCCGTCGCTAATGCAGCTTAGCGACGGAAAAAGGCTCTTTAGTTAAATGCTGTTTTTTGTAGTGGTAGATATAAAAGATTTCGGTGTCCTTGGCTTTCAGCCGGCCAAGAGCTTAAATTTCAGAATAGTATAGAGTGAGTGAGAGTGAGAGAATAGTGATTCTGGTTTGTCCAAAGGGGAAATTGAGGATGGGTTTATATAGTGGTAGAAATTGAACAAACAAACATGAAAAACACTCAATCAAACACAAATAAGGAAAGAAAATATCGCATGCAATCAATAATAGAACCGGTAAAGGAGAATCAAAATTCAAACCCTAGTTGAGTCCAATGGTCATGAATCTAGTCGGAAATGTAAGAATCATTCATTGTAGAGTATATATAGATGAATTATCAGCCAGATCTTCACAAAATTAGAGCCAAATATGGCCCGTCTTGAAAGATAGCATTGACCAAAGTTAGGTAAATACTAAGTAACACCATGAACGCGTGAGTAGTAGCAGAATAAGGCAAGAAAATTACGAAAGGATTCCATATTGGGGCCGAATTCGGAGAGGATTTAGAGATACAACGGCAAGGGTTTCTGAAGGGAAGGGGGAGAGTGTTTAAAGGCGGCTACTGAAGGGAAATGGGGATGAGGGTTTGGGGTTGGATAGTTAAAAGGGGTAGATAGTATATGGGCCGTTGATAAAGAACTGTGGGGGCGGGTTGAATAAACGGGTCGTTTGGTTTGGGCTAAAGGGATTGGGCCATGGATTTGGGTATGTTTGGTCCGAATATTAGCTCAAAATTGGGCCAGATTTTAAAATAAGAGATTAAAAGGAAATAATTTAATAAAAATAATTGAATAAAAATATAAAAATGCTATTTATGCAACTTAATAATTTAAAACAATAGTAGAAGATAATAAAAAAATGTAAAAATTATTTTGACCTTGAATAAAATGACAAACGCAATAAATTGAAAAATATAGGTTGTTATTGCAAGATTGTATAAATAGCCTAAAAATACTAATATAATTATATGAAAATGAAGTAAAAATATTTACAACATATATATGAACGAAATAATAATTTGGATGATTGAGTCATCACAAAATAATTTAAAGGAATAATTAGTAAATATTCAAGTAATTTAAATGCAAGAAAAATATTTTTAAAGCTCTAAAAATTGTGAACAATTATGAAAAATGCTTGTATAAATCTTGTAAATTAAATAATAATTCAAAATAATAGTTTGAAAGTATATATACTATTTGAAAAAATGTGGGGGCAAAATTGGGTATCAACATTTAGTTATAGCCAAGGGTCGAATATGTGTTAGTTCGAAGGAGGTCGAATGTAACCTGCGCTTAATTATGGCCGAGGGCCGATATAGGCATTAATTCGAACGAGGTCGAATGTAACCTGCACTTAGTTATGGCCGAGGGCCGATATAGGCATTAATTCGAACGAGGTCAAATGTAACT